TCTGGAACATGTTCTGTGGTAGATTATGGCGTATTTTTTACTAGTATGGTGATGCTATGGTTGTAATCTATGGTGAATTGGTATGGCGTTGCGTTTCGTTTGTGTTTTGAATGGACAAAAATGTTTATGAAGTTGTTGTTAGTTCAGTAACTAAACAACAACATCAGCAGCCTATATACTCCTGAGCAAAGGCCTCTTCTCACACGAAGAAGGGACGAGCATTAATTAACATGCTTGCTCAAGGTGGAGCCTATCCTAACCTAACACAAACAAGGAATGTATGCAGATATTATTGGTTTAAACCATGTCCTCGACAGTTAAATAGCTCATAGAATTATAACTCAAATGAAGCAACATTTTCATAATTACTATGAAAGAAAGAAGAGAGAAAGAAAATCAATTTATTACGATACACACGTAGATAATAATACAGGTACACACAAACAGAAGCCCATGGTGCGCATCGCAAAAGGTCGGGGCTCAAAAATAATACTGTGGCTCGGGCACGGTGCTGATTTACAGCACCAGACCGTAGTAGAAGTAATACACCTATGGTAACGCTGTTCCGGAGTACAGCATGATAGAAATAGTAAAAATAAAATAACATTTAATTTACCAACATCTATATATGTATAAAAATGAAACCCGTTGCCTGCCTCGTTGGCCGAGTGGTCGCAACTGCGACTGCCGAGCAAGGGGTCTCGGGTTCGATTCCCGGGTCGGGCAAAGTATTACCGGGTTTTTAAAAAAAATCTCAGTAGTAGCACGGAGTCTGGAACTGTGCCTGGTATATGGCAATAGGCTCACCCCCTATTACATGGGACTCATAACATAAATAGTGAAAAGTGGGTGTTACATTGTACAGTCGTATAATGTGCACCTCTGCCTACCCCTTCGAGGATAAAAGGCGTGATGTTATGTTATGTTAAATGAAACCCGTTTCCCGTTGTCATGCCATAACTTGAGAATGGCTAGACCGATTTGACTAATCTTTTTTTTGTTGTGTTTGTTATTGTCAGGAAAAGGTTCTTACGACAGAAAAAAACCTGAAAATCTGACGGGAATGGGAGAAAACGGGATTGCGCGTACGAAATCGCGGGCAGAAGCATAATAAATGTAACTAAAAAAGCCTATTAAAAATCACACAATCTTCGGGGTGAATATGGTAAACTAACCACCATTTTAATAGTCAAAAATTACTCAAAATCTTGACAGCTTCGACAATTATCTCACGACCTGCATCATCCTAATGATGATAATGATAATCTACACCATTCATCTTCATCAATCAGAGATAACCCTTCATCAGATCGTGATGTAGACTATTGTGTCTATTGTGGTCTACCGTAGAACTTTATTAATGTATTTTGACCGTAGGGCAGATGGGGTCATCGTGTCGAATGGTCAAATCTGAAGTGTCGATAATGTAGTGATGTGCAATGTTCATGTGAATAACTTTTTTTATAGAATTTTTCTTTGGTTTTTCCTTTTGGTTTATTTATTTCAGTTGTCAACAGTGATTATTAATTTTAGAATTTAGTTAGGTACAATATAAGCATGGTAACCGCCTCGTGAGGTTCGATTTCAGAGCAAAGTATTTTTTATCGATTTTATAAAATTCTAACCAATCGCACGCAGTTACAAGTGCATCTATTATATGGCAATATAGTCGTTTCCAATTAAATGATGTATGCTGTATTTATTTATTTGGACATACAGTTGTGGCTACATATTTAAAATTAACTTATTAGGAATTAATAATCTTATTAATAATGCACAACATTTAAAGGACAATACAGCATGCGTTGAGTCGCGAACACTGATCAATTAAATTTACTTCAATTGAATCTGTATAATAACATAACTATCGGAACGTCACCGCATCGTACGTCAGGAAACATCGACACATATACCTATCGATACTGTTGCACATCTCTACAAAGGTCCCAGTTCACTGTGTCCAATTGATTGGCCACGGTACACACTGCAGGGCCTGACTAATGTGGATGCGTGTCGCCGTCCAGTCTGCCAGGACCTTTAAATATTCTCTCGAAGTTGATTCCTATGATATTCATAACTTCTATGGTTTTGTAGTAATACTGGAGTGTGAAGTGAAGACGAAAGCTCGTTCCATATGATTTGTATGGAGAAGATCGTGCAAGAAACTCCTACTTACTGTCAAACACCGAGCGATCACCGCTGACCGCAACTCATTGTTCTTTAATTGTGTCTATAATGACGGTACTCGACGAGTTAAACATACAACCACTCAATCAACAAGTCAGTTATTACTTACCAAAACAAATAAAGATTTAATATATTCTAAGCTTACCTAATTATGGTCTTAGTAATAAAATTAGACACTGTCCTACACAAACGTTACTCTTATCTAATAACGGACTAAAAACGACTACACTGTTTCCCCTACAAATGTAAGCAAGCGTGAACATACGTTTATATGAAATAACGACCGACACTCTATACTTCCGTCAGGAATCGAACCGGATACCTGGCAAATGGGGCGAGGATGGCGTCTTGTAAGGATTCATAAGTCACCTGTTTTGTTATATTTTAAGTTATTCTTTTATGAGCTTAGGAAATTTGTAGATAACTGAATTGTTTAGTTTTGCAGTGCGAAGACAATTTTAGAAAATGTTATTATTTTCTTTCAGCTTTGGTCTAATGTAAATTTTAATAAAATCAGGAATTTTTTCTAATAATTATTTACAACTAGCTGTTGCCCGTATATATGAATCCTGCTTTATCCCATGGGAGAATTTAATCGGGATAAAAATCCACTTAACTCAGCCCATACCTGCAGGACATAGAGGCAAGCCTGTACCAAATTTCATCAAAATGCGTACAAATATCATTAACATTTTATAATATTAGTGTAATTTAATTAAAAACTAAAATGTTCATGACTGCCAACAATGAATTTTTCAATAGCCATTCAGTCGGGTAAAAAATCATCATAATTTGAAGATAAAGCTATATTTTGCAAATATGGGTAATACAATAACATAACTGTGGTGTTTAGATATGCAAATATGAATTAACAAAATATATATAATTTAAATACATATATTTTTACAAACGTTGATATTTGATTCAAATAAATGATTAGAATACTGGCTCGTTGGCCGAGTGGTCGCAAGTGCGACTGTCGGGCAAGGGGTCTCAGGTTCGATTCCCGGGTCGGGCAAAATATTTTTTTTTAATCTCAGTAGTAGTTTTTTGTGGGTAGACACAGTGTTGACATTGTTTTTTGTGTGCTGTGATATTTATTTATTTTAAAATTAGTTAAAGGTGATATTTAATGTATTAAACTACATTAACTGTGTCATTGACCCCCCTTTCCTTGCGGATAATCGTTATCAAGTCTCTCGCACCATCACTACATCATCCAAGTACCACACCATCATGGATAACAAACTTGCCGCTAACTTGGAGGTCATGCAGTCCTTTTTGACATCAAGAATGGCTGCCTATGAAGACAAACTGGAGAAGGTTTCGGCAGCGATGCCTGGTTCAGCTGATTTGGAGTCGTTGCACTTGGATTATATGGAGTTCAAGAAATTTGTGCTGCAGGCAGTGGCGAACTTCAAGTCACAGCTTGAGTTGCTGATGCTGGGTCACGACAAACATGAGACTGCGATGCGACGTAAGGTGTTGTTAGTCCATGGCGTCCCTGAGCACAAGAATGAGCAGCTGCGTGAGGTTGTTGTGGACGTGTTGTGCAACCGGATGGGCTTGACTGAGCTGCATAAGGGGAATATCCATGTTTGTCATAGACTGGGTTCCTCTAGCCGCAGTCCTAGACCGATTCTTGTGCGCTTCTACACGACCGAACACCGTCATCTCGTCTGGGATAATAAGAAGTCGCTGAAGGGCACTGGCATCACAATCTCCGAGTTTTTAACGCAACTGAGACACCGGTCCTTTATTGCAGCCCGCAAACATTTCGGCCAGACAAATTGCTGGACTGTGGAGGGCAGGATTGTTATCATCGCGCCGGATAAGTCCCGCCATAAGATTGAGTCCATGGCGCAACTGCAGGAGCTTGTTGTCAGATTTCCACCTGTTTCCTCTGGACCCGACATTCCTGTGGCAGTTGGTCCCGGCTCGCCTTCCTGCACGACTACTGATTTGGAGACCAAAATCCCAAGGAAGGCGCGTCGACGTAACAACAACTAAGTGCTACTTCATATACGAGGTTACACTTTTTTATTCATTCTTGTAGACCCTGGTGGTGGACTTTGTACCCATTGGCCTTATTAGATGTCAACAATTTAGAGATAATTTTATAATTAAGTTTTTATTTTGCCGGTATGTCACGATTTCGTTGATAAACATTGTGTTTACACCTACATTCACTTTCATTTTTCATTTCAAAACCAATCTGTCAAATGTCATCTGTGTGATCTGTGTCACTGTCGTTTAATGATGTTGCGTTTTGATAATGCTACTTATGTTTGTAAGTTTATTTTTTAATTAGGTAATTTATTCTGTTTTAGATACTATTGTTACATTTTTCTTATTATTATGCTGTGTAAGTCCACTTTTACATTATTTTTATTTTATTTAGCAGGTGCTTATTTTCTCTATTTTTTCGTAACTTGTAATATTTTTTCTTCTACTCTTTTTATGCTAAATGTCTGCAAGTTGGGGGGTTGTTTATTTTATTTAATTTTTTTTTTGTAATTAGCAGCCTTACAGCCTTTTATTTTTATTTTTGATATTTCTGTATTTTATCATTGATATAATATTAGTTTATTTATATTTTTGGCACTATAATGGACAATTTTGTTGACTTCAACGAAAGTTTTTTCTCATGCTCTTCCGAGTCTAGTTGTGCCAGTGCGGGTGGTGGGGCATCGCAGTCATGCACTCTGCATGACTCGCTATCCTGCACTTTTTCGCCTTATCCCAAAAACTTAAATATCGCTCACATAAATGCCCAGAGTGTTCCTGGCCATATTTTTATTAACACCGTTGCCATGGTTATCACTTCTAATTTCCACCTCTACGCAGACGACTTGCAGCTTTACCGTCATTTCAAGCTGTCAGAGGTCGACTCTGCAATTGAAGCCATGAACCGTGACCTGGGTGGGGTCGACGAGTGGGCCAAATCCTTTGGCCTGCAAATCAACCCCCTCAAGTCCAAGGCTATGATAATTGGTGGTAGGTTTTACCGCAACGCATTGAGCATCTCTGCCCTTGATCCTTTGATCCTAAATGGCAATGTTATCCCTTACACTGATGTTGCCAAGAATCTGGGCGTGTTTATTAATTCTAACCTTTCGTGGGGTGAACAGGTGAACGAGATCAGTCGTAAAGTTCATTTCTCTTTGCATTCGCTGAAGCGTCTCCAGTCTCTTCTACCTCTGAAAACGAGGATCAACCTTATGCAGTCTCTGATCCGTCCATTGATCGACTACGCTGATGCTTGCTATTTGGATGCCACGGAGGAGCTTCTAAATAAACTTGAGCGCTTGCAAAATGTCTGTATACGCTTTGCCTTTGGTTTAAAAAAGTACGATCATATCTCTGAATTTCGCAAAAGACTCAAGTGGCTCCCAATCCGACTTCACAGGAACACTCGCATCTTATGTCTTCTTTTCAACATACTTTTTAATCCCGATTATCCCTCTTACCTTCGTGAACGTTTTTCCTTTGCCCGCCCTCCTGAGGCTCTTTCCCGATCTCATCTTAAATCTAATCTTTCTGTTGTCTCACACAATACTGATTTTTACACCTATTCCTTCACTGTTCATGCAGTGCGACTTTGGAATTCCCTACCACCTAATATCCGTGATTCTAAATCCATCCCAATCTTTAAAAGACTCGTAAGGGAGCACTACCTTTCCTCATCTTGTTCAAATTAGTGTCATATATATATATATGTATAATATGTTTATTTGTAATATAGTCTAATATGTGTATTATTTGATGTGTATCTATCATATGTATGTATAGGTCTATGTATTTTATTGTGATCTATTTATTTAACACATTTCATGTCGTGTTACGCACAGTGTCTCTTTTTTTTTACCGTTTTTCCTGTCGAAGGACTGCAGGAAGAGATTCCTTCGGGAATATGTAGTTCCTATGTACCTCCAAAATATTTATATATGTTCTCCTGTGTACTGTCTGTGTGTGGTGCATAAATAGATAAATAAATAAATAAATAGTAGCACGGAGTCTGGAATTGTGCCCGATATATGGCAACAGGCTCACCCCCTATTACATGGGACTCATAACAAACTAGTGAAAAGTAGGTGTTACATTTTACAGTGGCATAATGTGCACCTCTGCCTACCCCTTCGGGGATAAAAGGCGTGATGTTGTTTTTTTAAATGAGTATTAATGCAATACTCAAATAAATGTATTGATTCCGACTGTACTTCAATTAAATGAATACCGTCTGCGCTTTATCGCTAACAAAAAGATAGTCTTTTAATGAAATTAAGTTGAATAGGGGTTCAGCATAAATTGATACCGTATTACAGATATATCAATTGCTCTACTGACTCCTACTGAGGGTACAACGCATATACCAATGTAAAATGCATAAAATTTTATATTCATTGCACATCCTACTTTCAAAATGGCTGACGACTCGTTGCTATATAGTGTTTGCAATTGTTTTTTGATGGGATCCAACTGATTTTAATATGGAGCGGTGTGCTTGTGAGTTTATAACGATATTTGGCTAAAAGTGGGTTAGTAGTTTTTTATTTTGTTATGAACATTTAGGTTCTTTAGTTTTAGTTTATTTTAAAGATGTCTTTAAGTGTCATTGAGATGAGGACCAAATTAATGACATATTGACGGGGATAATGCAAATTCGCGAATCTAAGTACTATACGTAAAGGCTGCGTATCTGTAATAGATTAAATTTTACAGGTGAAGGTTTACATGTTAAAAATAAACTCTGCATTGTTGGACGAGTGGTCGCAAGTGTGACTGGGTATCGGTTTCATTGCGCAGGTCGGGCAAAGTACTACTGCGTTTTTTAAAATCTCAGTAGTAGCACGTAGTCTGGAGTTGTGCCCGGTATATGGTAATAGGCTCACCCCCTATTACATGGGACTCATGACATAAATAGTGATAAGTGGGTGTTACATTGTACAGTGGCATTAAGTGCCGTAATGTACACCTCTGCCTATCCCTTCGGGGATAAAAGGCGTGAAGTTATGTAAAAATTAACTCGTGTCAAGGCGGTGAGTGGCAATTAAGATTTTGAGTGATATTTCCGCGAACACTGCTACATTTGTCCCGTACGCGGAATTATTCAATGCTAGTTTCGCGGATTTGAACTATCCCCGCCGATAAGTACTATCTACATAGCATACATAATGTAGTACTTAGTTCCTGAAACCAAACTGATCTAGTTATATATATTTTTGTCAGACTCACGAATTGAACCCAAATAAGCCTAATTGACTCCCGCGTTGAAGATGTTGTCCATGATGTATTATAAAGGTTAAAGGGAACCATTATTACGACACCACTGACAAACGGTGAAGGAAAACATCGTGAGGAAACCTGGGCTTATAATTTCTAATTATAAGTTTGTAATCGCCAATCCGCATTGAACAAGCGTGGTGATGCTCAAATCCCCGTGTGAGAAGAGGCTTTGCTCAGCAGTAGGCATTCATAGGCTGTTGATGAAAGGGAACCCTATTGCCGAATCCATAACTAATACAGTAATATAGACTTACACAAAATTAAAGCCCCCAAACAACACGTTACCTGAATCAGGAATCAATCTCTTGAAAACCACTAGACCAGAAAAGGTAGCCACGTCAAAAAACACCTCGTTGGTAACAATATCATTACTGGGGTTTTACTTTCATCCGAGGAAGGTCAGACAAAGGGACTAACCGTCTAACCGTGCTCGCTGGAGTGAAACCGTCGGATTTCCTACTCATACAAATGCATGAGATGCATTTTTGATATGAAATGGTCTTACTTTCGTTTACTATCATAGTAATTTAGTATGTCGTTCCGCATAAGAGCAATTAGTTGAAGTACTTAAAGAATTGGCCTAATGTTAATGCATAGTATGTTATTTATTTACATATACAGGTACTTTAAAACACTACTTCTGGTGTATCATTCGTTATTAACAACTAAAGTCAAAGTCAAAGCATTTATTTAAATTCAACCAAAATTTAGTACGTTTGAAACTTCAACCAATACAAAATAAATAATAGTCTGTCAATCTCTCCATCAGTGAAGCTAGGTGCTCATTCCAAAATGTAGATTCGAATGGAGAAGAACGAGCAAGTAACTCTATTCGTTACTCTTTTATTTTATAAAATTATGTGATGAATGAATAAGTGATTTATGGAATAAAATTAGGTAAAGGGTCGATTTCATATTTCCAATTAAAATTACACTTTTTTGTTTGATTTCTTTTGAGGTTATATTAACATAAATAAAGTAACAATGATTTTTTAATGAAAACTATAAAAAATTGAACTTTGAGTGACATTTAAGTGTGGGAGAGCCATGCTTCGGCACGAATGGGCCGGCTCGACCGGAGTGATACCACGGCCTCACAGAAAACCGACGTGAAGCAACGCTTGCGTTGTGTTTTGTCATGTGATTAAGGTTACCGGAGGCCCAATTACCCTCCCCTTCCCCAATCTCCCCAATCCCTGAATCCCCAACGATCCTCAAACTCCTAATCCCCAAAAGGCCGGTAACGCAATTGTAACGCCTCTGGTGTTCCAGGTGTCCATGGGCGACGCCGATTGCTTACGATCAGGTGATCCGTCTGCTTGTTTAAAACCGGCTTATGCCATAAAAAAAGACTTGAATGAGTGATGTTGTTACACTAATGAAATTATCTAAAACACTAATAAAGTTAGTGAGTGACTCTGTGGGTGAGTTTCTATGTATGTTTGTTCTTTGACCACGTCAAAACGGATGATCGGATCATGATGAAATTTGGAACCGGACTAGATTATGGTTTAAAATAACACATAAACTAGTTTTTATCTCAAGAGAATACAAGCAAAAGCGTTGGCAGACGCTAGCAATTTATATAGGCCAACGTCCTTAAAAAACACAAATGCATGATTCTACGTAGTATTAAATCAAATACAATGTACTTACCAAGCAAAAACGAATGCTCATAGTTATCACAAATATTACAAAAACTGCCGTAAGTGGTATAAATGCGATGGGAAAATCCATTACGATTGTAGGAAAGGATTGTAAAAAGTTATCCTGGACGGAGGGCCGTGGGAAACTCAGGGTGATAGATGCCCCGAGGGACGCACGCGATAGTCAATCACAGAGGTATTTGAAGAGGAGGTTAGTAATGATTCTTATTTTCTAGTTTACGTGTTTTATAACTTTCGTGATATGGTGAGACATACTAAATTAATTATCATTTTAAGTGTGGGAGAGCCATGCTTCGACACTAACGGGTCGGCTCAACCGGAGTACCATACCACGGCCTCACAGAAAACTGACGTGAAACAAAGCTTGCATTGTGTTTCGTCGTGTGAGTGAGGTAACCGGGGCCCAATTACCAAGTCGCCGGAATCCCCAAATCCTCCACAATCCTCAAATTCCCAATTCCCAAAAGGCCGGTAACGCACTTGTATCGCCTTGGTGTTCCAGGTATCCCTGGGCGACGGCGATTGTGTACCAGTCTGCTCGTCATGCCATGAAAAAAAAAATATAGGTATTTCTCGGCTGAGTAAGCCTACTGCCGCATAGGAATCGACTAGTATCAAGCCACAGGTTTGTATTTATGAGCAGCATACCGCGACACACAACTAGTAACAACAAAACACACAATAATAATTATTTGACGGGTGTTTACACCTAAATTTCTTATTCCTTGCCGGAATTTGTGTTTCCCAATAAATATAACTTGGGTGTCTTCAAGTCCCGAGTGTACAGGTTGCTCATAGGTAGGCGTGCTTCATCGTCGGCCGCATCATCGCTTACCACCAGGCGAGATGGCGGTCAAACGACAACCTATGAAGTATAAAAAATATATAGAAATAAAAAGCATTTCACCTCTGCCTCGTTGGTCGAGTGGTCGCAAGTGCGACTGCCGGGCAAGGGGTCTCGAGTTCGATTCCCAGGTTAGGCAAAATATTATTAGGTTTTTAAAAAATTCTCATTAGTAGCACGGAGTCTGGAACTGTTCCCGGTTTATGGCAAAAGGCTCACCCCCTATTACATGAGACTCATAACATAAATAGTGAAAAGTGGGTGTTACATTATACAGTGGTATAATGTGCACCTCTGCGTACCCCTTCGAGGATGGCATGATGTAGTACTTTGAAGTCTAGAGAAGGTTAGAAAAAACTTTTTAGACCGTACGAAGTTTGCCGGCTCAGCTAGTATGTAATAAATGTATGTCGGGGATGTATGTTTTAATTCAAGATTTAGTTTACACGATATCTCCTTATTGTTTCTTAAGTACGCCGCGCATGAGTTGATATCGTTATATCAGTAAATATAAACTCATCGATTCGGAAACATTTTTAGTTTATTAAGTGCTTGAGTGAAGACTGATGACCTAGTTTCCAGTCTAGATATCAGTGTGTGAATGCCTCGTTGGCCTAGTGGTTGCAAGTGCGACTGCTGGACAAGGAGTCTCGGGTTCGGTTCGGCTCGGGCAAAGTATTACAGGGTTTTTTAAAATTTTGTCTGTTGTAGAACTGAGTCTGGAATTGTGCCCGGTATAATGGCAATAGGCTCACCCGCTATTACATGGGAGTCAATAACATAAATAGTAAAAACAGGGGTGTTACATTGTACAGTGGCATAAAGTGCCGTAATGTGCACGTCTGCCTATCCGTTCGGGGATAAAAGGCTACTACCACTTATTATGTTTAAAGCTGATTGTCATACATGCAACTTACGGCCTTTACTAAGAGTGAGGGAGCACTTAAACTAGCCCTTACCTACACTGTTAGGTGTCACTTAAAGGTCGGTGAAAACGATAATGTCGTTTAGTGTCATCTATCTTAGTTTAGGGGTAACCGTTAGTTCCTTAAAATCCAAAAGAGAAGAGGTCAGTGGAAACTGGCATTAATCAGTCCAATTTCGGTTAGGTATAACATTTTCATAAACAAAAATCTCAATACAACTTTACCCGACTTCTTCATCAAAAATTCGAATCTGCTGCACGAACGAAACACTTAAAATCTAGACAGGATTGTTTCGACCACACGCACTGTCCCCTGTTTGGGATGCAAGCGTGAAGATAAAAGAGAAATTCACGGTGCCTTGTTAACAGGATGCTAGGGTGCATACATAATGCGAGCGGGACAAGAAGTCACGGCTCAAATAACGAAACGATGTCCTGATTTTTGTGTGATATTTTATGGAGTTTTTAGCGTGGTCGCAAGCGTCAACCAAGTAATTACGGATTCAGGACTCGATTACATTTGATATGCGAAATTAAAATTGTTACCATCACAATAATACGATAGTTGACAGGTAGTCAAATTCAATACTTTTATTGAAACGTCAAAAACTATACTTTTCTATGAATTTTAGTATTGGACCGCAACTTATGACGTCGTC